GGTGGCTTCTGGCGTGGGCCCAGGTATCCCTTTCTGTCTCCCTGTCTCCTAACTTCTGGCCTATTTGTTGTTGTGACCAGGACCTTAGCCAATGCCTCAGACTGTCTTTTGCTTCTTTCATCCTCCCTTTGCTCCCTTTCTTTCTCCCTCCTTTGTTCCTTCTCTTCCTCAGTTTCTCTCTTATAGTATACCCTCTGGCTTCTCTGACCAAATCTCTCAAAGTTATATCTTGTAATCCATCTAAGCGTTGTAACTTTCTTTTAATATCCAGGCCATCGTGACAGATGTTTTTGATCCTCTGCCTGAGGATCAAAAGGAGTATATCTCCTATATGTTTTTATAATATTTTCTAGAAACATAGAGGGAAATTTATCAGGCCCTTGAATAATCTCTCTTACCTTGGCCAAATTAGTTGGCCGTTTAGTGGCTGCTCAGAGACCCGCTATTAGAGTACAGCGATAAGTGGACAGATGTTCCCTACCTTTAAAGGTGTTGGGGTCCCAGTTGGGTCGGTTCAAGGAGAAGTTGTGTTGGTTGCCCATCTGGTCCAAGGATATTTTTTTTTTAGTTTTTAGGAGGATTTTCTTTTGGTCCTCGGTCATGAAGAGAGTCCCTAGGAGCTGTTGCCAGTCATCCCAAGTAGGCTGGTGTGAAAACGCCGGCGAGTTTTTTTAGTTTTTTTTAGTTGGGCTAGTTTCCTCCAGGGGAAGAGGGGCTGAGTCAGCAGCAGGGGAATCATTTAGAGGGTGTTGGGGGTTGGGGGTGAGGGCAGGGGATAAAGAGGGGGAGGAGAGTCCAGTAGAGTCAAATCTTGAGATGTAGGGAGAACAGAGGGTGGAGGAGGAGGAAGAGCAGAGGGTTTGAGAGACAGAATCGTGGGGGAAGGAGTAGGAGCAGGGGCAGGGACAAGCAAAAGCTTCACCCATGGAGGAGTAGATTCATAGAGGTCCTGCCAAGTTAAGATATACGGCTGTTGATCTGGATGGCTATGTGGTCCCAGCTGAAAGACAAAGACAATATCTCTGACTTTTTAAATTAGTGGGAAGTAGAAAGATCCTTCTGGAGGCCATCCAATTCCAAAGGTGGGCCATTCTGAGGCACAGAGAGCCTGCCAGGTCTGGTGTTTTACTGAAAAAGAAAGATTCTGAGCCCTTATGCGGACTTTTAGCCCATTGATCAAGGGTCAGGGACAGAGGCGTGGAATGGCTTTGTCTCATAATGAAAGTTATTTGAACAAAGACAGGGACAATACAAACGTGACACAAACATGGACACACAGTAAACAGTAAACGTGTAACATAAGTTTAGAGACAAAGATTAAAAACAGTGAATTTAACCTGAGAGAAAGAATTGTTGCCGGCAAGACCAGACGGGTTGGCAGCAGAATATACCAGATGAGGGCACTTCTGTCCCTCCCAGATGGGGGCACCTTTGTCCCCCCCAGAGTCTTTCAAAGCGTCCCTTGAAAGACATGGTCATGGCTTCTGGACACGTCTGTCCACCACCGCCAGGGGGAGCTTACGCTCTCCGCTAGCAATCATATTCTGCCAACCCAAACCGAAAAACCAGAAGGCTCTGAGAGCTTACGCTCTTCGCTGAGCCAAAAACCAGACTCTGAGCGATCGCAAAGGAAAAACAAGAAGGAGAAAAAGGAGGAAACGCTACCGCTTGAGCCATATCCCCAGCCCAATATGGTCATTTTAATAATATTAATTCTGCCTACCCATGAGCAAGGTAGATGTTTCCATCTTCTAAGGTCTTCTTCTATTTATCTCTTTAGGGTTCTATAGTTTTCAGTGTATAGATGTTTCACCTCTTTTGTTGATTCCTAAGTATCTTAATTTTTTTCAGGATATTGTGAATGGGGTAGTTTTCCTCATTTCCTTTTCAGAGGATTTGTCACTGATATACAGGAATGCATTTGATTTATGGGTGTTGATTTTATATCCTGCCACTTTGCTGAATTCATTTATTAGTTCTAAAAGTTTCTTGGTAGAGCTTTTTAGGTCTTCTAGGTATAGAATCATATCATCAGCAAATAGTGCTAGTTTAAGTTCTTCTTTTCCTATAGTTATTCCTTTAATTTCTTTTATCTGTCTAATTGCTCTGGCCAGTGTTTCAAGAACTATGTTGAATAGAAGTAATGAGAGAGGGCATGCCTGTCTTGTTCCAGATTTTAGAGGGAATGCCTTCAATTTTTCTCCCCACAGTATGTAGATCGTAGCCAATTTTTTCTTCTATCAGATGCAGAGTCTCTGATTTGATATCAAGCTCCTTGATCCATTTTGAGTTAACTTTTGTGCATGGTGAGAGAAAGGGATTAAGTTTTATTTTGATGCATATGGATTTCCAGTTTTCCCAGCACCATTTGTTGAAGATGCTATCCTTCCTCCATTGCATGCTTTTAGCCCCTTTATCAAATATAAGATAGTTGTA